AAAATAAAATAAAATAAAATAAAATAAAATAAAATAAAATAAAATAATATGAAATAAAATAAAATAAAATAAAATAAAATAAAATAAGAAAATAAAATAAAATAAAATAATATAAAACAAAATAGAAAAAAGGCTGTAAAATAAAATAAGAAAAAATAAAAATAAATTATCTTAAAAAAATTAATTGCATTTCAGGCTGTTTATTATTTACGTATTTACCATAAAAACAAAAATAATTTTTTCTAACATTTTCTTTTGTTAATTTTTATAAAAAGGTAACAATTTTAACAATATTTGAGAGATTATGCTTTGAAAATTGTCGAAGTGATTATTATTTTTTTTTGTTTTGAAAAACTAAGCGAAACGATACGGGAAAAAATTAAAATGTTTTTTCCAAACTACAATAATATGTATTTCAAGAGCTCCTGGTATAGGTAAATATTCGTTAAGTTATGTTACTACTTAAAGCGATATATTGTACTATATATACATATACACATACATACGTATGTACATACTATGTACAACAAATATTCTATTTTTCGAAAGTCACTAGTTTGAGGCGATAAAGAACTTAATTAAATTATTGATTTTTTCCTATTCTAGAAAATATATGGTTAACATTGAATTCGCAATATGCACATGCACATATTTTTAGACTCGAAAATATGTGCATATATGTATGCGTGTTTAAGACCTACGAACGTTTGTTTCTCAAATTTGATTTGATTTATTAGCTGACCTTTAATTTATGACTTTCTTTGCAGAGATAAAGAATTAAATATAAATTTTATAAAGACTTAGTCAACTAATAAAGAAAACACGTGTACAAGCATATGTATAAGTATTTCAGAACCACAAGCAATTAAATATTTGAATACTTACCTATATACATACAAACTAACACACATAAATATGTATGTACGACTTTATAGATTTGCATTTGAAACCATTAATAATGAAGTGAATTCTTTGTTTCTTTCTTTGCAATGTTTTCTTCTATCAACCCAACCTTTGTCGTTCATCTAAATATGTACATACATTGACGATCATCTTGATAAATATGTCCGCATCTGCACCGCCCGATTATCATTCTATATCTCCGGCATATTGACGCATTGCAGTTCA